ATTGCTTCTCACACTCTCACATGCAAAAAGACTGTGAAAGTAAATTCAATTGTGTATACTGCCAAAAGAGGCATCACTCGATGCTCCACATTAATAATTTTACCCCCCAAAATAGCTCTAACTCGCAAAGAGCCACAGGGCTAGTTGCAACAGCTAGACCCGAACACCCCGAAAATCTCGAAAACGAAACCGAGAAACCATGCTGTTCGAAAACAGCAAATATACAAGCGCTTCATTCCGAAAATGAAAGCAAAATTTTACTGCCAACCGCGATTGTCTCGATTGAACATCGAGGAGAATTGTTCAAGCTTAGAGCTCTAATCGATCAAGGCTCACAAAGATCGTTTATCTCATCAAAAGTACAAAACCGGCTAAAACTCCCAACCACAAACTCCAACTTTGAAATTTCGGGAATGGGTGGAAGAGTAATACAAAACTCTAATAAAATCTGCTCATTAACCCTGATTTCCCCCAATGCGGATGTAAGAATAGAGGCACACGCCATAGTTCTGCCGCAACTTACAAATATGCTTCCAAGCTATAAAGTAAATGGGAAAGATCGCCAAAAATTTGCCCACCTCAAATTAGCGGATCCCAACTGCCACACCCCCGCGCAAGTTGATATCCTATTAGGCATCGACCTAATCCCCCAAATAATGCTAGAAGGCATTGAAAAAATTTCAAATACCTTGTTAGCCCAAAATACCATCTTTGGATGGATATTGAGCGGCCAAGTAAAAGAAAAAATATCGGTATTCACAACTCAAGTTGAAGATATTTCAAACGAATACCTCAATTCTCAATTAAGAAGATTTTGGGAGTTAGAAGAACTCCCCCCCATGAAAGTCATTACCCCAGAAGATAAGTATTGTGAAGACTATTATAAAGCCACAACTATAAGATCAAAAAACGGCCGTTACGTCGTAAGGCTACCATTCAAGCCACAATTTCCCGACACACTCGCCCTAGGTCGCTCCCGAACCTCTGCGCTTCAGCAGTTTTTAAGTATGGAGAAAACCCTACTTAAAAAAGGCGAGCTTAAATCAGCATACGATGGTGTCCTGGAAGAATATCTCGATTTAGATCATATGGAAAAAGTAAATCCATATGAGAACATAACCAAAGATAAATACACCTCATTTTACCTACCCCATCATGCGGTTGTAAAACCAGACAAAAAAACAACCAAGGTAAGAGTAGTCTTCAACGCCTCGAAATGTACAAGTTCGGGCAATTCCTTAAATGACATTTTGTACACAGGACCCACATTACAACCCGATTTAATGCTTCTGATTTTAAAGTGGTGTATGTTCAAATACGTATTTAACGGAGACGTCGAAAAAATGTATCGACAAATACTCGTACATAAAGACGATCAAGACTTTCAGCGCATTATATTTCGAAATTCACCTAATAGTCCAATATGTGACTATAAACTCAAAACGGTGACATTTGGCGTAAATTGTGCCCCCTTTCTTGCCATTCGAACACTTCACGAATTGGCAAACGATATAAAAGAAAAATTACCCCTAGCAACCCCGGTGTTAAAAACACAAACATATGTGGATGATATCCTGTCTGGAAGCCACAGCTTACCCCAAGCGTACGAAGCACTATCACAAGTAATACAAGCCCTCAAGTCAGCAGGGTTCCCCCTAAAAAAGACAACCGCCAATCACCCCGAAATCCTAAAAGATATAAATAAAGAAAGTTTATTAGATTCAAACTTCCTAATATTCGAAAAGGAAAGTACAACAAAAACCCTAGGCATACAATGGAATGCGATCTCAGATAAATTCTCATATACTCTTGAGTCGATATTTGCTCAATCCGCAATAACTAAAAGGCAAATTCTGTCGGCTGTAGCGAAACTTTTTGACCCCACAGGATGGCTTTCGCCAGTTATGATACAAGCGAAAATCCTGATACAAGAATTATGGCTAGACGGAACCGAATGTGACGAGCAAGTGAAACCACTTCGCTTGGTAAAATGGTCCCAATTTGCTAACAACTTGCACGCTATTGCAGAGATACAAATCCCTAGATGGGTAAATTACTCCCCCGAATACCAAGTAGAACTGATGGGTTCTGCGACGCCTCTGAAAAGGCATATTGCGCAACTATATATGTGCGCACCCAAATTAACAGCACAATTTCAAGCCATTTGTTAGTAGCAAAAGCCAAAGTGGCACCTCTCAAAACACTAAGTCTACCACGACTTGAACTGTGTGGCGCGCTTCTACTACCAAAATTACCCTCAACTGTGCAAACGCATTTAAACATGACCAGTCAAAAATTATATCTATGGTCAGACTCAGAGATCGTCTTAGCTTGGTTAGAAAAACCACCCCACTCATGGAAAACATAT